AAGTAAGACAATCAAACCTCAAGTACAGTTTCAATACCTTTTAAGGAAAAACTAGCTTACTTGGAAACTTTAAATCACTATGAAAATGCCAGTTATTATGGTTTCCAAAGTCCTTTATATACATTATGGCATAGGAGTCTCAAAACCATCCAGTGACATAGGTGATTTTATTGTTGCCCTTTTGAGGGAGGAAAATGTACCTCAGAGAGACTAAATGACTTGCCCAGGATCACACAGCTAAATGTCCAAAGTGAAATTTGAACTCAGGTCTATCCTGATATCCTGACTCCACATCCAGTGTACTTTCCACTATACCACATTGCACATGTTAAGATTTCGCATATAATGGAAACTCAGTAAGTAAATTGTTGTTGTTCAGTTGTTTCAGTTGTGTCCAACTCTTTGTGGCCCTGTTTAGGGTTTTCTTGGCAGAAATACTGGAGTGGTTTTCCATTTCTTCTCCAGCTCATTTTATAGTTGAGGAAATTGAGGCAAACAGGATGTAGTGACTTGCCCTGAGGGTTCACACAGCTAGTAAGTGTCTGAGGTCACATTTGAACTCAAGTCTTCCAGACTCCATGCCTGGGCCACAATAGACAATAAACAGACCCTGAAGTCAGGAGGACCTGAGTTCAAATCCGGCCTCAGACCAAACACTTGACACTTACTAGCTGTGTGACCCAGGGCAAGTCACTTAACCACAATTGCCTAAAAATAAAATAAAATAAAATAAACATTTTTAAGTGCCTGCTATATGCACCGGGTAGGTGTTAAGCACTGAGATACAAATACAAAAAAGAAAGACAGTTCTTCTTACAGGAAGCTTACAATCTAATGAGGAAAGACAGTACATAAAAGAAGTACTAAAAAGCAGGATAGGGGTAAGGATGAGGGGTGGAGGGTAGGAAAGGTCCAGGTAGGCCTGGAGGCTGTGGTGGAGAGGTCAAAGAAATCCAAAATGTGTGCATCTGGGTAGGAAAGAAGGAAAATGAGTGTGAGAATGAGATATCTTACCTGTCTCTCCTCCTTAAATGGAGATTGAGAAATTCTTGACTCCACTCTCTAACCCGAGGAGTAGATGTCGTTCATCCATCGGCCCCCTCCCTCCCCCATAAGAGGACTAACGATATCATGATTGAGTGATGTCTTAACTTGCTCAGGAATTAGATTTAAGTGAGGCAGAGCCTCACAAAGTCATCGGCCTCACTTTCTCTTGCAGAGTCAAAGAAGTCCAAAGAAGAAAGTCAAGGCAACTGGAAATGTCGCCCAGGTGGCAGTGAATAACCTTGGCATCTTCTATGTCTGATCAGGTTCTAAGTACCCTTCAGTGCCTGTTTCAGCCACCTTCACGGCCATTGGAACAAATCCCATTCCTTGGGGGTGACAGGGTATAGGTCCTGAAACACCCCCCCCAACATTCCTTAAGTTTTCTCCTTTTCCCATGTGGTCAAGTGTTCACTAACCTTCCCAATAATCCCCAGTTTCCCAATTCTGTTACCTCCCATTGTTTGTTACCTCTGGATTACCTTGGGCCACTTCCCACCTTTAATCCTATCTAGACTCCATTCTTCCTTGGCCGTGTGGCATTCTCTGTTACCTCACAGTCACCTCGGGCTACCTGGCCACTCCTAGATCCCTCCCCCAGTCTTTCTGTATATAAGATCCATCTTGGCCAACATTAAGGTGCTCAGATTCCATCTGGCCAGCTTGCATTAGTGATACAAATGCTTAGATTCCTTAAGAGTCTGGCCAATATAGCAGATTAGAATCATGCCCACTCTCTATTGGTGTTTTTAATAAACCTTGGCTTTGACTGAAAGAAGGCTTGGGTAAAATTTTGGGGTCCCAGCACCCCTAAACCTCAACAGGGGGAAGTTTTCACATGTTTGGGGTAGACGGTCCCCAGCTCCCCAAAGGTAACAAAGATAACAACCACCAGAAGAATATTTGGTTCAGTAAACCAAAAGACACATTGATTGACCAAGTCTGATGGCACATATAACATCCCATACCTGTAGCTTCTCACCTCTTCAACAAATACGGTTTCTGGGGCAGCTAGGTGGCGCAGCAGATGGAGCTCCAGCCTTGGAGTCAGGAGGACCTGAGTTCAAATGTGACCTCAAACACTTAACATTTAACTAGCTGTGTGACCCTGGGCAAGTCACTCAACCCCAATTGCCTCACAAAAAAAAAAATATGGTTTTTAAAAATATTTATTTAGCATGCTCTCATATGCTCCTTTGATCTCATTCTACTTGCAAGGCCCTTAAGAACAAGGACCATATCATTCATATTTTACCACCTGGAACATTGTCTGCTAAATTGAATTGAGCAAGCCCTCATCCCAGGTTTCATCCCCATTTTATTGACGACAACTGAGCATCTCCCAAAGCAACATTTAGTAGGAGGGAGGAAGAGGTTGTAGTTAAGAAGATGAAAAAGCCTCCAAATAGACATGGTCTTTTTAAGAGTTAAATGGAATGTTATCAAAACAAAAAGGCCACCTACCCATAAGAAATCTTCTACTGAGAAGGACTGGATTTAAGACACAGGTCTCTCTCATTCAAGGATCATGATCTTGGACAAATCACTATTTAGACCCTCAGTTTTCTTCTTTGTAAAATGAGGGACATGGACAAGTTGTCCTGTAAGGTCTTTCCTACTCTAAGTTTCCCTAGGGGGAAAAAAAAATAAGTGAACCAACTATAGTGGAAGTGATGGAGCCAACATTTGATCTAATGAGCTTTTATTAAGCACCTACCAAGTATCGGACATTGTACTAGACAAAAATAAAACCATTCCTGCCCTAGAGGAGTTTATAGTCTTTCTAGAAGCAACTCGGACATATGTAATTAGATTCAAAATATATACAATGCAAATCCAAGAGTTGTTCGGGGGGAGGGGAGAAAGGCACTAGGAGCTGGAGTGGTCCTTCCATGACACCTTATACTAGAGACTCTGATGTAAAGGTGGGAAGTCTGAGCTCTGGGGGCATGCTGGCTGGCACATTGTAAATCGGTGGAAGAACAGCAAATGAAACTAACCCCTTTTAACCACCTAAACTCCTGTTTTATCTCCAAGAGATGGCACTTCCTCTTGCCGGCCATGTTTTTTTTTTTATTTTTCTCTACTGTAATGCTACAGGAAACTATTATATGTTTGTGCTTCAGGCTCCAAGATTTGTTTGTGATGCAATTAAGTATCATGAACTAAATATAGAACATTTATATAGGCAGACCCTGTCTTTTAAGGTCATAGGCAGAGTGTTTGCTCTAGACCTGGGTAGTCAGGCTAGGTTAGCTTAATATTTCTTTGAGAGTGCTTGGCCTTTTCTATTCAGGGAACACCTACAATTTCTCTTTAATGGGAGCAGGTATTTGCTTCACAGATTATATAGCCTAACATAGTCTATCACTCTTTTGTCTCTAATTTCTACTCATCTTTTAAAACTCAACTCCTACACCATCTCTCCAAGAAGCTTTCCCTGATAATCCTTGTCAGGTGAGAAAACGAGGAGAGGGGAGGGGAAGAGAGAGAGAGAGACAGAGACTGAGAGACAGAGACAGACAGAGAGACAGAGACAGAAAAAAGAAAAAGCCAGGAAGCATCTGATGCTGGATTTGAACACAGGTCTGTCTAGACTTCAGGTCTAGAGCTCTATTCACTGTGCCACCTAATTCCCTCTTATATTTTTTTACTCTCTACTAGAGTGGGGAGTTCGATGGGGGCAGGTTATTTTATCTAAACTTTTATTTCCCCATCACCTAGAATCAATCAATCCAATGAACATTAATTAAGCACCTACTACAAGCCAGGCACTATACTAATCGCAGGAACAAGGTTCTCTCCACATGAGAATTGAAATTAATTGACATAAACTGATTTCTCCCTCAGGTGTTCAGCTGGGGGAAAAGGCATCTTTGGATGGGTTCGATGAATAACAGTTTAAAGAATGATGTCAGTGGTCCCTAAACTTCTCCAGGAAAAAAAAAAAAGTCAGGGCAGCTAGGTGGCTCAGTGGATAGAGCACTGGCCCTGAAGTCAAGATGGACCTGAGTTCAAATCCAGCCTCAGACCAAACACTTGACACTCACTAGCTGTGTGACCCTGGGCAAGTCACTTAACCCCAATTGCCTAAAAAAAAAAAAGTTCAAGTCTCTTAGAGTCTTCTGAGGATTTTAGCCCAGGATACTGGTAGGTAAGAGGAGGATCGATTTACCTGGGAAAGAGGAGGGGGGCAGTGAGGAGAGAAAAGAGAATGATCATCTTTCTTTTGAAAAAAATCATTTGTTTCTTTTTTCATTCATTGATTCATTCATTTATAGCATTCATTTTTTAAATGTTGAGTTCCAAATTCTTTCCCCCACCTCCAGCCCCTCCCCCACCCATTGAGAAGGCAAGCAATATGATAATGATCCCCCTTTCATTCAACATTCCTCCTGTAGATTACAACGGCCTTTTCTAAGGAGGGTATTTTTAATAGCAAAGAAGTTGTGTGTCCAAAGCTGGACCCAAAGGGGGAGGGGGGGAAGAACAACACACACCAAAAAATAAAAAATAAATAAAAAATAAATAGTGGGTTGGGGGAGGGGAGGGGTCCTAGCCGAGAAGGCGAGAAAGCCTACGAATAGGTGCGGTGTCCCTTTAAGAGTCAAATGGAATGTATCAAAACAAAAAGGCCGCGCGCCCATTGGTCAGCCGGCCAGCACGTGGGTTCACAGCTGATTTCCTGGCTTTTTGTTGCTGCTGCCTCTGCTGCTGCTGCTGCTGCTGCTGCTGCTGCAGCCGCCGCCGTCGTCGTCGTCGCCGCCGCTGCCCCGCTGCTCGCTGCTGTGTGTCAGTTTCAAACCTCGCTCCTTCAGCCTGCGGCTCCCAGAGCGACCCTCGCGTGTCCCTGCTCCCGCTTCACCGGAGGCGCCGGAGACGGGGGCAGCACGCTGCCAGCGCCGCCCCCAGCCGCAGGGGCTTCTTCCCCTCCCACTCGGACCGACGACCCTCGAGGAACCAGAACCCACCCCCCCAAACCCGACCCCCATCATGGCACACTCTGCCCAGCTGAACATCTTGGAGCAAAACTGCCCCATCCAGGTGGAGCACGATCGCAAGCGGAGGCAGTTCACGGTCAAGCTGAATGGTAATGTAGCGCCAGCCAAGTCTCACTTTTCTCTCATCTACCCCCCCATCCCCTTTCCTCCCCCCCCCAGTCATCATCACCACCCCCTCCCCTCCTTTTCTATCTTTTGTTTGCACGGAAAGCAAGAAGCTAGCGAGCTAATGCAAAGAGTGCCCTCTAGCTAAACCGGGATTGATTTTTTTTTTCCTTTAGAACCGAGTTCTCTCTCCTCTTTCTCTTTTTCTTTTTATTATTATTTTATTTTATTTTGAAGCAGCGGTGAGGTTGGTTATGCAGTGGAATTACAGTGTCAACAGAGCAACTGGAAACCCCAAAAGGGTGGGAGGGAGGGAGGGGAATGGTAGGGAGAATCTGTGAAATGTATTGGAGTCTCATCCCTGCTGGAAGGATAAGTAATGAGCGCTCCCAGCTGATCTCCTATTACCATCCCCCTGTCTCAGAGATCCGTGCTTTGTTTCTACCTCTCTGCCCTCCTGTGCCAACCAGAAGCTTGGTTGGTGCCTCTGTGTGCGGAAAGTGAGTGGGAGAGCACCTGCCCACACAACTTGTGTTTGTAAACAAGCTAAAGTGGTTGAGGCTGTACTTGTTTTGAGGGTCGTGGGTTTATTTTCAATTTCGAGTTTTAGGGTATGAAGAGAGATCCCATTGCCTTCAGACGATTTTTTAAAATTATGAAACAGGGTCCCAGACTTCTTGGAGAACTCCTTTGAAAGGCTTGCACTCCCTCTCCCCTCCTTCCCAAATCCCTACCCCCTACTTCCCATGTGTTTCAGCCTGAATCCTGACAGGTTGTAGGGTCTGAATTGCATTCCTTTCCTCTTCCAGCCCTGGGGCTACTGATGGAAAGTCACTGAGTGTGAAAAGTTTTCTTTCTGCAATTTACACCCAGGCAGGAAAGATTATAGCTAGTGCATTGTCTCTTTAGGTTCAGGTCAATAGGAGCATTTCATGGGTACATATCAAGCTGAGGAGCTTTTGAACTCCGGGTGGGAAACCTTGTGCTTATGTTTAACTCTGAGAGTGCTGAGTGCTGAATGGAAGGGCCTGAGGGGAGCCCAGGAAAAGACTTGGAATAGAAACTCCAGCTACCAAGTGTGACTTTATAAGGGGCAGGAAAGCAGAGGGGGAGAGACGGTGTAGAGAATGGGTGTCCAGCAGAGGCTGGGCCTTCCTTGCTCACGAATAGGTCTTCAATAAATGCTTGTTGAATTGAATTAAGACTCTGATGACTTTTTCTAAACTTAAAGCTACTGTTAACGTTTCCCTTGTTCTATAAAATTCTCACCACTTATAGATCCACCCTCTCTCTTTTTCTCTTTGAAGTCTGAGATTTGGGGCTCTCTTCCCTACAAACTTACAGCCTTACTCTTATCTTAGAATTCCTTCACTACATGCTACACACATGTTGGAGAGAGAAAGGATCATAGAATTTTGAACCAGAAGGGTCCTCAGAGATGATCTAGCCTAGGGGTGGGGAGCCTTCGGCCTCAGGCCCGAAGTGGCCCTCTGGGTCCTCAAGTTGTGCCCTTTGACTGAATCCAAACTTTTATTAAGGAGATTTGTTCTGTGAAGTTTGGATTTGGTCACAGGGCTGAACTTGAGGACCTGGAAGGGCACGGGAGGCTCCCTGCCCCTGACTTAGCCCAAATCCTGCCCTGTCTCCCCCCCCCCACCCCCCCCCCCCCCCCCCCTTTATGAGGGCCCAGAAAAAATTATTTTTTCTTTTTTTTTTAAATTTTTAGGCAATTAGGGTTAAGTGACTTGCCCAGGGTCACACAGCTAATAAGTGTCAAGTGTTTGGTCTGAGCCTGAATTTGAACTCAGGTCCTCCTGATTTTAGGGCTGGTGCTCTATCCACTGTGCCACCTAGCTGCCCCCAAAAAATGATTTTTTCCAAAGTCACTTAGGTATAGTGAGTGGCAGAAGGGAAATTTGAACCCAACACTTCTGAACTCCAGTCCACTGTCCTTTATACCATAGCTGCCCCTTACTGTACAAGAGGTGGTCCTGGGTTGAAGTGGTCCTGTTTTTGTTTTTCTTAAAAAAAAAAAAAAACAACCCAAATCAGGCTTTTCTAAGCCTAATTACGGGGGCATTGACAGAAAAGAGCCAAGGTGAGGGAGAAACACAGCCAACTAGCTCCCTGGAGATCAGAGACAACCCTGTGATTCTGGTGGGGTTTTTTGTGTTTTGTTTTATTTGTTTGTTTTTTGCAGTTGGAAGAACCACGGTTTCTCGGTGAGCACCCTAATTGTTTGTTCTAAACATATACAGAGATGGCAGTCTGCTTGCTGCATCTGGTGCAGAACTTTTTGGGTAGAAACAGTAGTCCATTTTTAGACCCACAGAAATTGTAGGCAGGGATGCAAAAAAAAGAAAGGAAAGAGAGGAAAAAAAAAGTTTTGTTTTGTTTTTAAATTGATTCAGCCCTGGAGTCATCCCCTGGAGACAGCTTCAATCAGAGAGCCAGACTAGTTCACAGGGATATTTCTAAACTTTCTCCTCCCTTTCTTTCCCTTCCCCCACTCTAGACCACTAATTATAAAGTGTACTCCCTAAGTCAGCCCTGGGTGAAGAGAAAGCAGGACAAATCCAGGGGGCCAGATGAGGGGTTGTTGAAAGACTGATTAAAGACTGAATAAAAGGCAAGAAATCAAACAGAAAGAGCTAGCCTGGCTTGAGTCCAGAACAGAAAGACACCAAATTCTCTTTGGCCCACATCTGACTCTATTACTGCCCTAAGGTAGTGATTTCAGATTGATTGGCTTACCACCATGTGCCAGTCACTGTCCGAAACCTATCCAAGGGCCAGCCTCCGTCCTCTAGGACCTTTCGGGCCCCAGCTAGCACTGGGTAAGACCCTCCACCTTCCTGGGCCTTGATTATCCCAGCTGCCAAGGGGAAAGAAAATGGTAGAAGGGATTGTCTGCAGCTGAAATGCCTGTCAAAAATACAAGGCTTCTACTGGCCTTACAATCTGGTTTGTTGAATGAATGAATAGCTTGTTGTGAGCTAAGCACTTTGTAGACCCTAAAGCAGCATTATCCCGAAATACTCAGGGCAGGGGAGGGGGGTCAGTTGTCTACCTAAATAATTTCAATCACCATGAGCCAGCACTCCTGCCAATGTCCTTGTTTCCTCTTTTGGGGACGAACCAAGAAAGTCTGCCCCACATGGGGGTGTCCCATGCTGCCGTGGCTTCTGGCTCCCTGTGGGAATGGGAGCCAATCAGACTGTGGAGTTATAGAATGTTAGAGTTGGCAGGGACCTTAGAAGTCAACCAGCCTGACCCCTTTATTTTATCTGAAATTTTCTTTTTTTTTTTATTGCAAACTTAATCATCAACAAATATTTCCATATACAAAGACAAACAAGGAAGGCGGTTGTATGTGAAACTGTAAAGTTCTGTTATAGACAGGTGTTTAAGACAGACACACATGCATACACATGCATGCCCGTGCACGTGCCCCCAAAAATCTTAGCACAGTTTTAAACTACTAAAGGTTAAAACTGCACTAAGTCTTTTGGAATACCCTTAATAATTTAACAAGGTAGTAATGAAGGAAACAGGCCTAGGGTAGGGAGGTGACTTCCCCAAGGTAACAGTGAATTCTTGTCAGAGCCAAGAATAGAAGCCAGTCTCCCAACCCAGGGTTCTCGATTTTTCACTAGGTAATTAAAAAAACCAAACCCAAGAGCTAATAGGCTGGTTTTTTTTGCTGTCATTCAACATTCATTAACTCTACAAGTATGAGTGAAATTGGTCCTTAGATTAGAGGCCTTTGTCCAGCGGGCGAAATTGGGAGAAATTTCTGTAGTTAAGAGTGAGTGGCTTTCTAGGAAGCCTGACTCTCCCTCTCCCTACGACTCACATTGATCATGATGTAGAAATTCTCATCATTACTTTATCCTGGAAAGGCATCTAGGCATAATGGATAGATAGTTGGGCTTGGGGTCAGGATTCCTGCCTTAGACACTAGATATCTATCAATCAATGAGTGTAATCTTAGGTAAATTATTTAACCTCTTTCAGCCTCAGTTTCCTCAACTGTAAAATGAAAATGATAATAAAAGCATTAACTCCACAATTTCTAACAAGATAATGGATATGAAAGTGCTTTGTGAATCTTCAAGCTAACACTGATATATATTAGCTGTGACTATAATCACCAGGGAGACCTAACTCACAGAATGGCATTATCTTGCCAGAGGCCCTCCTGGGAAAAGCATTAATAATTCTTGGATCCCTTCTCTGCAGCCTGGTTCCTGGTTTCTTTGGTTCTTTTTTTCCTCCAAATCTGAATATTCTCACATCTGGGCCTTGGTTTCTTCACTCATTAATTGAGAATCAAGGCCCTCCCAGCTCTGACATTTTATGATGTATGTGGGGCATGGCTCAGAGTGCTTCTTCCTCTGATGTGACCAGCTGTACTTTATGGTTACTTACTAGGGTGAGTCAAGATTTGTGCTGGGCAAGGAAGTGGTCAGGAACGCTCTCTGGGTCTCCCCAGCTGACTGGTAGAAGGATATGTGTATATTTCATTGCCGAAGTTGTATTTTGTGCCTGCTATGCACAGAGCACCACGTGAGGGGATAGGAGAGAAGTATAGGACATAGTTGGTACCACCAAAGAGCTTGTAATGTAATTGGGGAGATAAGTCTGTTACGTGTACATCTAAAAAGATAACCTATCAGACCAGACACTTGACATGTACTAGCTCTGTGACCTTAGGCAAGTCACTTAACCCCAGTTGCTTCACCAAAAAAAGCAAAAAAGATAACCTAGCATCACAAGTAGATGAGAGCTTGTCATAAGTGTCCATGGGGCACTCCCTCCCCTAGAAGATCAAAGGAAAGGATGGAGATGGTGACACAGTGCAAAGAATAGTGGATTTGAAGTAAGAGGACCTGGGTTCAAATCCTGGTTCTGTTTCCTACTGAATGGGTTGGACTAAATGGTCTTGAAGGTCCCTTTTGTCTTTAAAGCTCTGATCTTATTA